CGGAGCCCGCGGGATGCGGAGGGGCGCGGGAGGCAGGCGTGCGAGCGGCCCGCAAGCGCATCGGCAGTTTAGAGGTGGGCAGGTGCATGGTGGAGCCAGGGATGGTTTCTGTTCGATTCAATAAAAACCCACTTCCATAACAAAACCGCGAATCCCATCCCTATCCCGAAACCATCGCAGGCAGCACCTGCGCAGGTGTGCCCGCACCGTCACACGCAGAGGGGAGCGCAGGCACGCGTGTGGAACTTCGCGGTGGTGCAGCGCAGTGCGTGTCGTGCTGCATCACCGCCGTGGCAGCGCGGGTCCGAAGGCATGAATAAAATCTTAATTAACGTAATGCAGCAGTTTCCGAGAGGCTGCTCCCGCTCCTGCTGCATGCAACGCTTTTCCGCTCGCATGGGAGCTCCGTTCTTCGCGGCGGCTGCTGCATTAATTTACATTTGGAATGGGGAAGTTGGTTGCAGGAGTTGTTTGACGTTCTTGACCCGGCTGGGTCGGTGAGGCCGAGCTGCTGCTGGGTGTCCGCGGGGTTTTCCGTGAGCCCTTGGTGCCTCCTGAAAATGGGAGAGGCAGGAATGGAGGGACGTGGTGCCAGTGTGTTCAGTTTGTGTGTTTCTGCTAAGGCTGCGATGTTACGGTGGTTATTAATAAAGAAAATAAGGTTAATAAAGGAAAAGCTGTTGTAAAGGCGGATTCCCAGCGCGTAATCAGATTAGTGTAGTATGTATGTACTCAAACATAAATCCAAAAAGAAATCCTATCCTACTATTTTTTTTTTTTCTCCCATTTTCACTGGTGGTAGCATTGATGAGGAAATCTCAGGAGTCTGGAGTTGGGACAGACATCTGAGAGTTTGGGGAATATTTAAATTTGTCAGTCCCCTTACACGCCGGAAGTTTGGGCTGGGCAGCTCCAGCAAAAAGGCCTTTGTGTGGGTGTGCTGATGACTCTGGCTGCAAATGCCACAAGAACAGCTGCCCCTTCGACCCAAGTATTTTGGCACTTCCTGTTCTGCTTCCCATTGCAAACTAAAAGAAAAAGTGATTTTAGTAATGGAATTTGGTTTTAGGAGGGTGAGTAACCAGTGAGGATCTCTCCATTTTATTGCAACCTGTAATGGGTGTGATCAGCAGGATAGGTGAGAAGTGTTGAGGATGGAAAAGAAGCTCCATGTAGGGGAGGAAAGAGTTGGGGATGAGGACCCCAAGCACTGGGGATCCTCATTGAAACTGGCTTCTCTTTGCCTCTTAGTCTGTGTGCTCACTGAGACCAGGTAAGCAGTATCCTTCCAAGCAGTGACCAAGTCCTTTGGAGACAGCTCCTTTTCTATGATCTTCCTTGTTTCAGACCTTTGGTTTGCTCCTCAGCAGCAGGGAAACTCAAGGTTACCCATTATTTATTGCTGCAAATCCAGCAGCAAACCCAGACTGCTGCGTTCTCCAGAGCGTTCTGATTTGGCCTCTCACGGGGTTATTCATTTTGCATGAGGAAGAAACGGGTATCCTGAACCAGTAGGCAGAAATTACTCATTAAAAAATTGGCTACTGTGGTTGTTTTACTGTCTTCCTCTGCATTTTGTCCACTCTATGTTTAGAATTACTTTTAATTGCATTTTAAAAGGAATGACTCATCGCTCATGTTTCTCTGAACTACAGCTGGGGTACAGTCTGGTGTTTATTTATTTATTTCTTTGTTTAAATTTTTGCTGCCCTTCAATAAGGCATCATACACACAGCTTATTGGGTGACCTTCACAGGAGTGGGAAACTCCGTGAATAAGTTCCCAAAGCCGCTTCAGACCAAGGTAAAGAACACAGCACTGGCAGAAGTCAATTCTATAAATCACTACTGGCCTCCCACTTTACCAGGTTTTTCTTGCATCCTTGGGAGGGGAGAAGAGTACAAACAAAAGGGAAGTGAATATCTCTCTCTGAAACTGACTTCTGCTATCACATAGCACTTGTTGTGATAATGCTGAATGGAAGTTGATGTTGGCAACATGCTGAATTCCTGTTATATGGATACCTTTGGGAGATCCTTGAGGTTAGTCCTGGCTTGCAGCCTGGGAGCAAGACTCGCTGAAGAAGCTGTTTGAAACAAATTGTTATTTGTGGAGTTTTTACCATGTCTTTCAGTCTGTCTAAGACATCTTCAAATGTGTCCTTTATTTGAAATATGTATTGAGGGCACATGCAGAACCAGGGATAATATTTACCTCTGAGAACCTATTTTAGCAAAAACTGCATTTTACCTGAAACTCCTGTGTTGTTACATTTAAATTGGGCTTAAGGTACTGCAGTCAAGATACCAGCGACATTTGTTATATAAAGCTTGATCAAGAATGTACCATATAAAAGACCAAGCTGCTGTAAATTACACAATGGAGATCCTTGTATTTGGAATAGGATGGAGGTTGTTTTTCTTAAAAGTAGTCAAGTGAATTATTTCCACTGGTTTTCCTTTTAGTTCTCAATGCTGCACTTGTCAAAAAGAAATTTAAACACTTCTCACAATAAAAAATACATTCACTTGAATAAAATTTGCAAACCAAATACTGTCTTGCATGGGAACATGGTAACACTTGGGTACTGCTCTCCCATTGGACTTCTGAGCATGCAGGAATAAATCAATGATCCTAATCCATTATCTGATATGGAAAGAAAGTGTGCAGGAGTGTCTTTCAGAGTCATTTAACTGATCTCTGGTAAAGTTCCTTATCATCGAGCAATGTACACCACTCACATGGTAATTGTCCTGCTGTCATGCTTTATTGATCCCCCTTAAATCCCTTTGTTTTGTCTAATTTTCTTTTGGTATGGCATCTCTCTGCCTTGGATGGCCTTCTTTTTCCTCTTCCAGCTTTTTTTTTTATTTGTGCATTTTTTTCCCCCCTCCCTGAAATAGGGTTCGATGTACTTGTAAATCCAAAAGGAGGTGGATATTTTGGGGATTCCAAACTTGGGGTATGGACCAAGAACTAAAACTGGAGGGAGAACATCATGGTGTCCAGATGACGAGTGCTGGAGTGGATGTGGGAAGATGCAGAGCAGAGCATTCTGCTTCTTCAGGGATGTTTGTGTGGCTAAAGGGCCCTGTACTGCAAATCCATCCAATTCATCTCAAATCCTACAGTTTTCCAGCCTGTCAGTTTATATGAACTCTTTATAGATGTGTGTTAGTCAGTATGAAGTCTGCTCCTGGAGCTTGACAAAATTCTCTTCCTCAATTGGTGTGGGACTGCAGGAACCAGTTTTCTTATTTTTGTTTTCTTTCCTCAGGGAGTTTCTCTGTAACTCTGCTGAAATTCTCTTCTTTTATACCGTCTTTGATTCTTTTTTCTTCCCTGAAAGCTTGTATCCTATTGCAGTCTTAGGAGTTGTTCGTGCCACAATGACTGTTCATCTGCTATGGCTGTGGTTTGCCCCTGCCTTTTCTAATCCACTGCCCAGTTTTTTCCCTGCTGCGGGATGTACTTTGTCCCCTACTAACACTTGGCAAGACTTGAGGATATTTTAAGCTTCTCTTTCATGGTTGATTTAGGCCAATGCCTCTCCCAGCCTCTTTGCTTTGGACAGCATGTTGTTCACCTCCACATCTTTGCTGGTGCTGATTCTATTTCGTAATTTCAAAAATGTGCTTTGTTTGAAATCCACAATTTCAAGGTTTCTTTGAACTTCAATTTGATTTAAGCTTGTTTTTTTATTTTACATTCTGCCACCATAAAGAATTAGAAGAAATTTGCTGGGAGCTAGAATGGCTTGAAAAGTCAGCCTAGTGAAGCACTCACTTAGGTGGTGGCATGGCACAGGGTATATGCCAACATCCATCAAACTGAACATTTCTATTCCACTGATCCCTGCCTGCCATATCCAAGGGAAAAAAGCTGCTGGAAAATATCTTCCCTCTGAACTGAAATGATGAAATATAAAACATAATGAACCTGCTGCATAATAGATGTGACCTAATGTAGGAAAAAGTAGTTACAGTTAGGGTGTAAATGTTGAGATAGCATGTAAAAATTAGTGTGCTACAGTGTTATTTGGGTTGCAAAACCAAGCACCAAGTAGTTGTAAACTAATAGAACTAAGGCAATGTGAAGATTTACCACTTCCATGAAAACACTGTTTGTGTTAGTTACCAGTAGTGGAAAAGAAGAATTAAGAGTTTTCAATTCATATTCCAATTAGGTCTTCTGTGGGTTCTCTGAAAAAGTGTGGAGAAAGAAAAGCAGCTTGCAGGTGGGTTTGCAGACTGAGTTAATTCAGTAAACAGCTGTTTTGATGCTTGTGCAATATCAGCCCAGGTGGGAAGGGAAAACAGCCGAGGTGCTGCGATGAGGGAACCTCCCTCGGGAGTGTGTGAGGGGAGCAGTGGATGGTGAGTTCCAAAGGGCTTCCGTGCACCTGCCCAGCTTCCAGCACCTTCTGGAAGCTTCCAGAAGCCAGCGCCGCCTCAGTCGGGCTGCAGGGCTCCTCCTGCCACGCACAGGTAGGGGCTTGCTCTGGCTTTTCATGTTTTATTTTTAATTATTATTTTTGTTAGAAGTGCTGGGGGAGCAGGTTGAAGTGAGGATTGCAATTTGGCGCTGATTTGTGTGTCAGTTCTACTTTATTTCTGCTTGAGGGATGTGGAGTTTGTTGGCAGGTAATTGTTTTATTTGGATTATACCCTCAGGGAAGCGTGGAGGGTATGATTGTTGGGTTGTTTGGGATTTTTACTTTTTATTATTTTGTGTGTGTGGTTTTCTATTTTCAGAGTGTTTTTAACTTCTTTGGGGGTTTTGTTTTCAATTTTTCTTATTTTGTTATTTCTCTATTCTTTCCCCATTTTTCTTTTTCCCTTTTCCTGTTTTTCCCTTTTCCTGTTTTTCCCTTTTCCTGTTTTTCCCTTTTCCTGTTTTTCCCTTTTCCTGTTTTTTCCTTTTTCCCCTTTTTTTCTTTTTTCCTTTTTTTTCCTTTTTTTTCCATTTTCCCCTCTTTTTCCCACTTTTTCCCTTTTCTTCCCTTTCCCTGTTTTCCCCTTTTCCTGTCTTTCCCTTTTCCTGGTGTTTTCCCCTCTCTCACAAGATTTATACTTGATAAAAATATTGAAGCCTTAATTTTGCCCGTTGATATTCAGATTTTGTATTTTATAGACCAAAACTTTATGTTTTTTTTTTTTTAGAAATAGTCCCATTTGGGGATGCCCCTTGTCTCAGAGCTTTCCCGCCTTTTTTTGTGAGGGGGGCGGGAGGGGCCGGCCGCCATTTTGTGTGGGGGACCGGAGGGGCTGGTCGCCATTTTGGTGTGGGCAAAGGGGTTGTCTGCCATTTGTTGTGTGGGGAGGGGGCTTCTTGTCATTTTTTTGTGTGGGGTGGGGCTGTCTGCCGTCAGGTTGGGGTGGAGGAGGCTGCCCACCATGTCACATAAGGTGAGAACTGTTCACTCTGTGGTGTGGGGAGGGAGCTGTCTGCCATGTTGTGGGAACTGAAGTGAGGCTGCAGCCGCTGCCTCTGATTGGGGTGCACTGGGGTGAGAGAGGGAAGAAGTAGCACAGGTTGCTTTGATAAAAAGCAGTGACTTGCCCACCTCCTGCCCTAGAGGATTTGCTCATTAAGCTATTAAATATTGAGGGAATAGTGCTTTTTCTGAGTAAATAAAAAGCCTGAAAACATACAAAAATGCCCACACTGTCCAAAACCCTCAAAACACTTTGTGAGCTTTTCCGTTGCTGCACATGTTTGCTGGAAACACAGCTTGTTGCTCCTCATGTCTGTAGCTTTGTTGCCTGTCGTGGTGAGACCTTTATGAAGTTACAGTAGGGTTTTTTGCAGTCCTACTGTACAATGAACATGTACTGTGTTTGTATGTAAATCTTACTATGAAGTATTTATTGCAAAGTTGTCTTTGCAGAGGACTTCAGGCTTTATTTTGGGGTGACCTGTTTGTGTGAGGCCCCTCAGAAACTACAAGGGGTTGTTCTCTGTCTATAAACACTGCCTGGGAAATGGGTTGTAGAATCCTCCTGGCTGAGTGTTAATAAAGAATTGACTAACAGAGCAGGGAAAACACAATATGTTCTGTTCTGATGACGATCCATCCTTTCCCTTTTATCCTTCTTTCTGAAGTGCCTGATTGTCCTTACTGGGATGGTGAGTCAGCTGGGAACACAGAAACAACTGTGGTACCCAGCAGGATGCAGACTTCCAAGATGTAACTGTATTCAAAAAATAAAGGGGAAGGGAGTGTGAGCTAGAAATGATTGTTCATTATCCACTGGACATTTATGAACTTGGGGGGAAGAAGCAAGTTGTATCCCACAGCCATTGTTGATGCTCAGATAGCTAGGGCTTTGCTAGTGTGCATCTGGCTAAAATAATCTCATAAAATTTCTGCTTAAATGCTTCAGAGCCAAAAGCTGCACCTTGCTCACTACAAGTGTCAGAAGTAATCCTGGACAGAAAATGCGTTACTGCAGGGGTATTTGTTGTCTCTGCTTAGGCAGTTTGGTTATTTACTTTGCCTTTTTTTGTTTGTTTTGGGCATCTGGTCTGGAAGAATTTTGATTTATCTGCAGAACTTGATTGATCGTAAAGAGGAGAACAGCATATCATGGGGCAGTTCAGACTTCCCATATTAAAGGAATCTTTGTTTTTGCAACAAGGATTCATTCAGCAACATCCCCCTGCACAGCATTTTGGGTGTTTGCCAAGTTAACTCTTTGTGTTTAGTTCTGCTGGTGCAAACAAAGGTAGAGCTGCAGGAGATGAAACTGCTGAGCTGTCTCTCCCAGGAGTTCTCTTTGAGAGCTGCTTTGACCACTTAGAGCCATGGCGAGTTCCCACAACTTATGTGTTGCCTTCAGCATTGAAGTTGTGCTTGCTGAAAACTGGTGAGAAGCATTATGAAATGCATGCCTTGCTTCATTTGAGCTTTATTTATTAAGATGATCTCGGTGTTCGGAGGTGATGTTTCTGGGGTGGAAAATAGACTTTGCCACAAACAGCATGTGGGATGTGTGTGAGGCACAGATTCAGGTGAGGAAATGGTGTGCAACCTGAAGTCCTGTCAGTCTTCCAAAATTTGTGGGAGGTCTTGACATTAGTTATAGGCCTTGCTAGAGAACTTGAAGCTCATGGGATGCTTACAGGCATCTGATGGATGGGAATGTATTCCAAGCATTCAGACTGGCTGGGTTCAAGCAGGTGACACGATGCTGTAAATACCCTTGTCATTTATGTTAGGTCAGAGGGTGAAGTGTTGTTTTATTAGCTTACCTCTGAAAAGATGGAGGGTATCCAGACCTCATTCATCTTCTGAACTGTTTCTAAGTGTTGTGGCTCCTGTTTTTCTTAAGGAAAAAAAAAAAAAGTAGTTCTAGATTATTTATGTATCTATATATGTATATTCAGAAAATAGCAAACTGAGGGCAGTTAGTGTTTTACAGCTCCTCCGTACCATCACAAATAGCTTGTACCTAAAATCTTTGCGTTAAAAACAGCACAACCACCCCCTCTCCCCAAATGCACTCCCACACATGCAACTCCAAGGGGAAAAAATAAACTTTGCGATTAATTGTGGAGTGCTTGGTATGTGATCTGAGCCAGTAACCAGCTCTCAGATCCCACGAGCAGAACCCTTCTGAAGTATCCTTTGTAGGCTCTGCGAGTGTACTCAGAGACAGTTTTGTTTGTAGTTTTATCTTCCTGAAATCTGGCTTTCCCCCTCCTCTGGGTGTGGGATGGCTGCCAGTAGTCAGTGACCCGTGGCCCCCAGCTGCTGCTGGGCCCAGGAATGCGTGCTGGGCTCCAGCGGCACTGGGTGACGGAGGCTGCCATTCCCTCTGATGTGTGCCCGGCGTGGGTGGCGGGAGCTGGCAGGGCTTGGGTAGCAGTAGAACTCTCGTAGCGGCACAGGAGCTTTCTGGGAACTGGAAAACTCCAGCTTGCTGGGGCTGGATGTGAATAACCTGGCCTCGGTTCAGGACAGTTTTAGTTCCTGCCGGGAGCAGCAGCTGGTCGGTGCACAGGAGCCAAAGCCCGTGGGTTCGCCCAGCGTAGCACTCAGGGACGTCACATGCTGCATGTACGGCTCCTGTAACACTCTAAACTCTGGAAATTTTTAGATCCAGAGCGTGTCACTAATAATTTAGTCTTAGATTGCCTATTAATAGCTCCTTGTATCTGAACCTGCCCTTTAATGAGGCTATTTCTGTCACAGTTGGAGGCTTGCACTGGAAATGCTCTACCTGGCATCCCTGCTGGGTTCTTTGTTGTCTTGGTGTGTGCATTTTCTGCTCTCTCCTGGCTGGTATTTGACAAGGAGGATGTTCCAAACAATTTTAAGCTTTTTTTTGGTGTGGACACTGTTGGGATACACCTGAAAACCAGAATGCAGTGCTGACACTCCTGAATCTGGTTTGAATTATTCTAACTGTGGCTCTTTATCAGTGACCAAGAGCACACATGGTTTGTCAGATGACAATAATTGATGAAAAGATGCCATTGCAGTCCTATTTTTACCCCCCATGCCGAGTGAGTGTCAGCACAACCTTCTTCAGACTTCACTGAGAGCAAGAACAGGCTGTTCCCAAGGGTCACGGAGTGCTGAAAGCAGTGGATAATGGACTTTCTACCTGCTGGGTGCAAGCCTTGCATAAGCAATGTGCAAATTTGAGGCTGCAACTTTCACAATGGCCTGTTTTGAGTTGACACATTTCTTGTGTATTTGTTTGCAAACAGTCAGCATAGCTTAGGAAGGTCTTTGGAGCAGGAGCCCAGATTCCTGCTATTTGAACACTCCTATCATTCCTGTTACAGGAATAGTAAGCTGTTATGTGTGTCACTTCACTATTAGAGGGGGAATTTCATATTCAGCAAACCTTTGCTTTATATTAATCATCCCAATGGATCACTTGCTGAAGCAAGCAAAAGGCCCAAACAAGAAACTTGATTTTTAAGTTTTTTATTGTAAGGATGCAATTGGAGAAAATGATTTATTTTAGGAAAGAGGATGAGAAGAACAAGTCATCTTAAGTTTCTGTGACACTAAAATGACAAAGGGGAAAGCCTTATGGTTGTCAGAATGACAGGTGGCTAAGTCAGAGCAAATAGGGAGCCAGAAGAGTTCGGTATAAATATTTAGAAGTAAAATTACCTCTGCAAAACTCCTTTTGGCTCCAGTTGCTGCCAGTTCCCCTTCTGTTTGTTCAGCTCGAAGACGGGAGTCTATATTTAGTAAAGCAAATGTGTATGAAATCTATATCAAAGCATTTTGTGTGACAGGTTTTGGAGGTGGTGGTTGTGAGATTTGGTACAAGGTGCAGGCATTGCAGAAAATCAATTGGTGCTCTATTTTTGTAACATGGAATGACTTAATCAATTACATACTCAGCATGGGCTAATGAGCGATGACCTCTTATCCCCCAGACTAACACTGCTCCTGCCAGGTAGATTAGTTGCTTCTGCTCTTGGCACTCATGTTTGAAGTAAGCTGTTGCTGCTCCCTTGATGCAACTCTTCATTGCTTGACAAACCTGGGGTGTCCTTTACAATGGTATTTTTAAAACCACCTGACTGCTGATGATTCAGTGCAGAGGTGAGGGGCAAACCTTGGCATCTCCAAGAGTGGTGCTGGGGGTGGAAGAAAGCTCTGGTTATCCGTGATGTGACCTGACACAGCCTTTGCTGCAACTAAACATAGTTTGGTATTCTGTGCAGCTGTCAGCCTGCTTCTTGCTGTGCTGGTTTTGGAGGGGTGCACACAGACCTAGACCTTTACCTGGAGCTGCCTCCCGCAGGTCTCAAGGGCAGTTACTTCTTCATGTTCTGCAAAGGGAAGTTATTTAAACCTCTCAGAGGATCTGTCCTTTGAGGCATGGGGGAGCTAAACAAAGCCAGTCTCTACTGCTGCTGTCCCATGGAGCTTTAATTTGAGTGGTGTCTGTGGGAGCCTTGGCACTGAGCTTTATGGGGTGTATATGTGCAGCGTGCTTCTCTCTTCCCTACAACAGTTTCCCCTCAGAGTATGGCTGTATTGCATCTGTGATTTCTGTTTTCCTTTTCATCAAGGTTTTGCAGGTTAGAGATTCATTTCAGAGAAAATTGCTGAGCAACATCGTGGTGTGTTTTTTTTTTTTTTTTTTTTTTTTAATGAGTAATAGAATGTCATGATGACCGTGATCCTAATTACGATCTATCAATCTGAAATCCTGGAAATGCCATGTTTTGTAAAAACAAGCTCCTAGTGAGCCCTCCAGCTTCCTCCAGTACTGTTGCTATGACAAACCAACCCCAGAGCATAAAGCAATTTTCTGCCCAGTCCTGCTGCTATTCAACAAAGGTTTGAGGGAGCTGGTCACCTTAGCTTCAGCTACTGCTTTACTGCTTGAAATTGCTTATTTAGACTTTGCTGCTCCTGCAGAAGTAACAAAATCCATCTTCACTTAAGGGAACTCAACTTCTGGTCTGCATAAAGAACAGGTTTTTAATGCTTTTTACATAAGCTCCACTTCTGGAATGCACTGCCAAGGATTATTTAGAATAAATGAGCTGATGTTGCAATATACATCTTGATGTAAACTGAATGTGTGTAAGGGGTTGGAGAGATAATACTGTATCAATACCCATTTTGTCTTGATTTTTAGTTCAGATGGATTTTAAATGGGGTTTCTAAGGCTTGTACATGCAACCTGAGGATTAATCTATAAGTGCCCAGTAGCTCATTGTTGTGGAATAGATACTATCTTTGTTAAACAATTCCCAAGAGAAATTATTTTGTACTTGACACAGCTGCTCACCTGTAGAATGTCCAGTGTTGTAAAAAAAGGCTATCTCAAGTTTTATTCCAAAGAGAACACTGCTTTTTGTTGCAAGATAATTGAAGGTTTCTAGGATGTCCTTTTGCTGTGGCAATATGTGTTTTTAAAGATCTACTAGGCAGCATCTCTATCATAGACTTTGTAAAGAAATTGCAGTGACCCCTCCTGACTTATTTTTCCAGTGAGATAGCTAGGACAGCACATTATGACACACTTACCTGGAAGCAAAAAATAGAAAAATACTGGCTTAAGGTACATTCAAAAGAAACATTTTCATATTGTAGGAAGCTGAAAGGGTTAGAGCAGGAAAAGTAAGTATTGAAAAATCCAAGTCAGTAAAATTTCCTTACTAGAAATGGGTGGTTTCTAGAATGTTTCTTAAACTCTTGATATCTGTAATTGGCATATTGACTGTACTTGTCATAAAATAAACCTGACCTAAATGCAGTTACCAATATAAATGTGTTTTCTGTGATATAGGAGTGAAAAATAAAATCTCCTTTAGAGATGACACAAATATGTATTTTTGGTCCCTGTTTGTAGGCAGATGGAATTATGTATGGCAGATCACTTACCATGGTAACATAGATTATGACAGCTGAGCCATTGACTTTTTTATACTTAAGATCCAGTGGAAGCCACGGAAAAACTATAAAAGGTAACACTTCTCTTGCATTTTAATTATGTTAATGATGATGTATTTCACTCAGAGCCCATTTAATGTATAATTTATGCACTATGAGTATCAAATTTAGATGAACATAAACCTGCATATAGAAATCAGTACACCTTTGGAGAAATCCTTATCTTCTAACATGAACATACTGGACAAGGATTAGCACTTGGCATTTTGTGCTGGTTTTCTGTCCCTCCTGTGGATGGAAAACCTGTGCAAGTGTAATTGTATCTCTTGCTTGTAACTAAGTACCTCTGTTAAGGATTCTGGCAAAAGTGAATGCACTGTTGCATCTAGATGTATTGGTGACATTACACTAGTCATTAGACTGATAAGTTATTCTGCCGTGAAGCTGGAAAACTCATGAAAATTTTACACTGGTGGCCACAGCAGTTGGCACCAAGGTGTCGGGAAAGATGGGCATCTCCTTTTCTCTAAGTCTAAATAACAAGCTGCAGATAAAGTTACTTGCGTCTTGATTTGGGCAGCTTTTTATTTGTCTGTGTCACTCACAGGAGATACAATAAAAGTCAGTTATTAAAGGGCAGATCAGCATCTATGTCAGTTTAAAATAAAATCAAAAAATATATTAAGAGGCCTGTCTCAGGTTTTTGCGATGAGTTTTCATCAATCATGATTCCCTGCCATGAGCACTCAGATCTCGCCTTCTTGAGGAAGGAACATCCAGTAATCCTGTTCTACCTGACAAGTGCTCTGCTCAGCTGGCATCGAGCTCCTGTTCCGAAGAAAATAGCCTCAAACCAGGTCTGAAAGGCGGTCTGGACCCACAGCTACACCATCTGTGACCCCGAAGGTAATCTCCACAGAGTTGCCTTGTTTGGGTTTACTTGAGTTTCAGAGTGCAGGGATTAAAGACCAGTTGGTGTTACCCTGAATATGAGGGGAAAAACCCCTACAACTAGTAAAACAAACAAGTGGACCACCAGCCCTGGTGTTGCCATCAGAGCCCACTGTTCGGCTGTGTTGCCAGACTCAAACACTATTGCCGGTGTGTGCTAGTAGACACAACAAATATGTCACTTCTGACTCCAAATTTACATTGTTGGGATTGCTCATGAGGAATTTGGACACTAGTAGACATGGGAAATGCTCATGTTTACCCAGATGCATGAACTTTAGAAGAAAAGTCATGTAACAAGCCAAATATTTGAACAGCGTATGCATTTCAGATATCCTGTGTACAAATGTTTGTCTATCATGCTGTCCTCTGTGCCTTCCTCAGGTTTTTAAATGCCCTTGCAAAGGAAGGACTGTAGTTAAACATCTGCACTGGGTGAAGAGCCCTGTGCAAGATTTCCTGGTTTGTGTAGCTGGACACTCTCTGAAGAGACAACCCAGTAGGAAAAACCTAAATGTGTTCAGCCGCTGAGCTGCAGAATTATTATATTTGGCCCTAAGTGCTTTCTAATTCAATTTGGTTTGTATTTCCTAAGCTTTTTCATATGTTGGAAGATGGATATTGAAAGTCTTTGTTTACTGTAGGTTTGCCAGAGTCAGCAAAGGTTGGACCTGTTAATAAATCTGTAATGCAAGAACTCTCAGATAATGAGATCGTGAAATTAGCAACATGTTCTTCACTGTTAGTAATTGTTTCATCTTGTGAGAGGATGAATTTGTACCTATTGGAGATCAGATTTCGATTGCACATGTCTCTGCAAAAGCTTATCAGGCAGCCTGCTGTTTGCCCACATGGAGGAAAGTTGCTAGAGCTGAGGTAAGGATAAAATATTGTTTTCAAACACCCGCACCCAGGCATGACAGTTTGTATCCTCATTTCTGGAACTGCCCTCCTGGATTATCAACCGCTTGCAGGCACAGTTGTATTTGAAGCGTGGTGAACTTCAAGGTGCTGCTGGTGAGATGGAGTGGTAAGATTAAAAAAATAAGCTTTTCATCCTGGTTTCATGTGTATTAATGCATAAATAACTGAGACACTGGAGCAGCTTTAAGCTAGCTATTTATAGCTTTTTAAGAAAAATAAATATACAGCTTCCAAAATGTCAGTAGCACCATTTTCATACTGATTGCCCTGTTGGGGGTATTGCTGATTCTACTGCTTTTGTGTGTTTTCCAGACATAACTGTGCTATTTGCTTCATTATTGCACAACCTCAGCATTCACATACTCTATAAAGCTAAATCAGACAACGATTGAAAATTTGGGCAGTAAGTCCCGAGCAATATTATTTTGAATGACTGGTCTCCCCCACAGAGGGAGAAATAAACAGGATGCTTGGCTGAGAGGGCCTTAAAACCCAAATCTGACTATGTCAGCTCTTCAGCCTCATGTTTTGGGTGACTGTGGTTGCCTGTTTGTTCTATTTCCTACATATGTTGGGCCAGTGTTAGTGGTTATGTAAATGTGTCCGGAGGGTAAGTTCTGTTTAACCAAAGATATTTCCAGTAATGGTGTTGTTTTCTTGGAAATGCCTGCCTGGCTGTCTTTTTCTAGAATTATCTACCAGATAAATCAAAATCGTTTTTGAAAAATGCACTTGAGCTGCAGGCCAGGCCTCCATACAGCTTCTTTCAGCCAAATGTCAGCAGAGAGCCTGATCAAAGCATTTTCCTCTGGACACATTCAAAATTGTGAAAGATGAGACATTAAATTTCTGATAGTGAATTATTATCAACTAGCAAGAACTGTTGAGAGAATAGAGCATATTTGCAACGGTTGACCTCTGTTTAGGGGGAATCTATGGGAATAAGAGCATCTAGACACAACTTGTTATGGGAAGCAGTTTACTCAGAGCTGTCTCTTTATTAGTCACCTAAGAATTCATTTCAGACAGACATTTCCCATACACATTTTCCTGAGATGCAACTCATGTTGCATCTTTAATGTTCAAATAATTTAGGCATCTCCTAGAGCAATCCTGATGGCTCCAAAACTGCATTTCTTCCTCTTATTTCCTTCTAATGCTTTAGCAGTGTGGTTTGGGAGGTATTTTTGTCAGGACACAGCCTTGAGTCATGCCAGGCCAAGATGCTGACAGATTCCATCAGTCTGGTTTGCCAAAGTGGCTGTTCTTTAAAACTGGTACTAAAACAAACCTGGCTTTTGTGAGCATCAGCACTGGAAACTCAGATTGAAAGGTTAAGGTTTTAAAAAAATGACATCTCTGATGTGACAGCCAGTTAACTTGTTCACCAGCATTAGGCAGAAATCTGGGACTTGAAGGGCTCAGAAAACTGTTTTGGTGACATTTGTTGTGTATCTTCTTTCAAGTCCAAAATCTTTGAAATTCTTCTTTAAAAAGTAACTGGTAAACTTTTCTCTAAAATAAATATTTTCTGGTTGCCTTTTGAGATAAATTACAAGCATTGAGGAAGGCAATTCTCTTCACAGAGGGGGCCCTCTGTAAAAACTGCATTTAACTTACAGCAATAGCAAAAGGGGATAATTTTTGTACAGGGAAATTGGGGAAGGCCCCTTTTTATGGGAATTGAAAGCTACATGGGAGAGAGAAGAGGTAAACAAAACCGATGGTGGGAAAGATGCAAAGGAAAAACAATGGAAGACATCAAAGCAATTGGAAATGAAAGCAGAACAATTTCAGCATTGTCCTACTGTTGACAAATTACAGCCCAAAATATCTTCCTCATACGATGAAAGTGCAAACATTTAAAATATGCTCTTCTTTTATTAAATAACTATGTGAAGGAGGTACTTTTTTAAAATGAGCACACATCTGAGAACCAATGTGGCTGATTTCAGTCACAAAACCAATTCCTTTAATTATTTTTGTTGGTTGAGTGAAAATGAAATTGGGCTTTGATGGGTGTTGCAAGCTGTTTTTTTGAGATTTTGGGATGAGCTGCAGAATTAAAATGTCAGAGAGAAAAAGGAATTGGCTGCAATTGGCTGGTGATCACCTCACTGCTGTGGGTATTTTAGAAGCAGCAGAGCATGGGCTGTTTGGGCTGAGATTGCCAGGGTAGCACCTCTGCAGTGTATCTGATTCCCAGAGAGGGCTTTTGGTTTCAAATGACACAGCAGATAGGAATTCCGCAGTCTTGTTTCTTCTTGGATATTATTTCAGACTAGAACTACATAAGATCTGATTGTCTCAGTCTAAAATCTGTACTCTCAAGACATACTTATAGCATGAACCTTGCAAACTTTGGGGGGGGGGGGCAAAAAGAAACATAGGTATTGATTTTAGTGGGAAATCTTGTCCTAGGACTGTCCTACTACACCTCTGTAGGCCAAATGGAGATTGTTCAGGAGCAAGTGGGAACAGTGAGGAAGTCACGCATTACCAGCCCGTTTATTTCCTCAGTGTAAATAGCACGTGTTTTCCATCTTTGCTGTTGCCCAATATAGATTCTCTGTCTGGGAATACAGAAGTTAAAAAGTCAGATGTGTGAAGTGTTTGCTGATTTTCCCAGGGACATGCAAAGTTGGCTCTGGGTGACTGCTGGCCCTTCCTGCCAGACTCCTCCATCCATGGGCTTTGAACTCATCCCTGTTTTCAGCCTGTAAATGCTCGTTCTCAGTGCTGTACTTGGCACTTGGCCTTTAGCAATCACTTGAGCCACACATTGTGTGTGCTCCCTCTGCCTTGCTCTGCGCCCTTGAACAATTAGAGCCCAATAGCCAGTGCACTGAAGAGGGGAAATACTTGAGATTTATTGTGGAGTCAGAGTTTCTGTCTTCCCGAAACAGGAGCTTTCTTCTAGTGGTATTCAGCAAGTGGCCTTTCTCACAGGAACTGTGCCAGAAGATGGCATTGCTGTGCGCAGAGCACTCCTCTCCATTGCAACAAGTCATTAGGAGGAGTGGAAAAACTGCAGCCTCCAAGTCCATTAGACTGAGTCAGGCTGTCAGGAAACGAATTCGTCTTCATATTGCACGTCAAGGATGGTTCCATTAAAATATATAGTGTGCAAGGTTGTTTTAGTTTTTGATTGTTGCTGTTTAACGAGAAGCTTTTGTTTAGAAGTCCAGATTTATCTGTAGGCAGAGGAAGCGTATCTCAATACCCAGAACTCTTGATTTTCAAATGAAAGAAGGAGACACTACAAAAAATCCTCCCTGTTCACACTGCCTCCTGCCAGCATTGTACTCTTTGACTTTAGGCTTTGCTCATTTTCCTCCACACACTGTCTCCCAGTTACCCCTCAGGAGCAGTGGGAAAAGTATTTTCAATGAATTTGCCTTGAGAATGGCATATGTGCAAGAGTAAGAAACTCTTGCATGCTCCAGAGGCTTCTGCAGTGAGTTTAATCCCAGAAGATAGTAAGCATCCCTTGGGGGGAGGTGAAAGGCTGAGGAAAAGTTGTCCTCAATTAAGAAAAATATGATTTTTCCAAGTTTGTTCTTCATAGCAAATTTTGTTATCTCAGTGAGTGAACACTGTAGCTCTGATTTCCCCAGGGTGTAGGATGAATTGATGTGATGACAGTTTCTCTTGGGGAAAATTCAGAATCTAAGTTTTGCTGGATACTGTAGAGTAGATCCAGTCTGTGGATCTGTGTTTGTGTAAGGGTTGCAGTGTGGTCATCTCTGGCAATGCTGACGGAAGCTGACTGTTATGGTTCCATCTCCCCAGGGAATTGTTAGGTTTTTTGGAAAGATGCTTGCTCCTGTCTTGAGCTTTGGAAAAAGCCTTAGGTTGACTCATGCTGGTGGCTGAACTGCAGGAGACATCTTCTTCACTTGTGGCCCTAACACTGAACAGAGATGCACAGAAATTTAATTAGGAAGACGTAATGCTGGAAATGAATCAATACCAGAGAGCTTCCTTTTGCCTGCTCTCTAAATGAAGTTAGATTCCTTTACCAGTAAGGATTTGAGGGGAAGGGAAAGGAAAGCAAACAACAGTGGAAAAAAAAATTGATAGAGTGTAGAACAATTGTTTGAAGTCGTCCTTTGAAGCAAAAAATGACTCCAGCATCCTTCACTTGCTAATTTGGCCATGTGAGGTTTCCTGGTGGGTTTCTATTCAAAACTCCTAGGTTTTGGAAGCAGAAGTCAAGGACATAAGCACCTTAATTTTTCTTTGCTTTTCCTATTACTTGATCAAAGTGGTTCTGTGGGATTTGATTTGGGGTTAGTGGCGATAGTTGAGGTGGAGACACAAATCTGTGGGTAGATATTGTCTAGCCCTCTCTGCAGGTGGAGCATTCCCTAGGAGGAATCTAGGATCTACTTCTATGAATTTTCTGGTCCATCCCTTCAGGAGCAGTTCCTTTTGGGAAGGATCTCCAGGCTCACTGCTGCCATTACCTTTGTGAAGTAACTGTCATGGAGAATACAACTCAAAAATCCCCAGATTAGCCATATTGCCTTTGAAGCACACAAGGCTCTGGTCTCGGGTACTCCAAAGCTGTTCTGTAGCCCTGGGCTAATTGCCTTTGGCAGCTGCTGCTCAGTGGCTTGCTCTGCCTGGAAGGTGACAATTGTCCTCCAGGGGTTTAGGAGGCAGCCCATGTAGGGCTTTTCTCACAGCTGGCCTTTGTGAACTTAGTTCTGAACGGATTGATGCTGGACAGAATATTTTTCTTCAGTAGCCTGTTGCTGTGCAGTGAACTTAATGATGAAACCCTTGAAACATTCCTAGCAGGAGAAAACTCCTTGTTCTGCTGGTTGATGACAGGTTGTTTTGGCCACTCCTTTTTGTTAGCTATATAAGAAAGATAGTTTAACTCCATATTGGAGAAGGCATTCTGAAGCTCAGTGGATATGGATGCATCTTTGGGTAGTAACATGTCGCTTTAGCTTTTTATTTGTGTATTTTTAATTTGAGCTGAGTCACAAGTGATCAGACTCTGGCTTGAGCTCAGTTCCATTCTGCCTGTGGCAAGGCAACTGGACTGCTCAAATGTCAGAAAATGAAACATGGAAGAACAGCTTTAATTAGTGAAATGACCTGCTCCCCCTAAGAGCTACTTTGACACCCAATTCACTAAGCAGTATTGAAATATTGCTGCTTTCCTCATCCTTCCCAAAGCTCCAATGCATGTGTGTATATGGGTATTTACTTACTAAAAAACCCTCCTCTATGACTGTGCTGGGCCTGCTCCAGAGTTTCTTTTGCACTTGGGATTTGCTCCCATGTAATTCCGGAAGATTTGAAGTGGGTGCAGTATTATGCTGAACTCCTTATGCAGTTGGAGCTAAAAGCATTATCGATTGCATTTACTATGAATGAAACAACTTAGATGTCTCTGGAAAATGAGAGAACGAGGAATGGGGAACAACAAATGAATGTTTCATGCCACATATTTCAATGCAGCAATTTCCCAGCTTTCATCATTCCGGAGTTCTTTCGTGTTGCACTTGGTGTGTGTTTTGTGCTGCAGGATTCAGAAAGCCCAGCCCCATCAGGCTGCGCACACAGCACTGCTGCTTGCTTTGGTCTCAGAATGATGCTGTAGGTCACATTAGTCATTTTATGTCAGTGGAAGCATAACGTAATTGATTTGAAGGCAGGAGGGAATGTACAGAAAGATCTGTTAAGGTAGTTATGCTGGATTTTATTTTTTTAAATTTCATTTGCAGTTTTAATGGGATATTGAGAACTGTTGAATCTTTGTCAGTGTTGGTTCCAGACAGTACTGACAAGAGCTAATGTGTACAGCTTCACAGAATAGCTTCTTTCTGTTTCTTCATTTCTCCGTATTTCCTGTTCCCTTTAACCCTGATCTGCTGATTTTTGCAGCACATCAAAGACTATCTTGTATTTCTACTTGATGTGTGGGTTAATATTTTCTTACTAAAATTATCAAACCTTATGTGACTGAAACAATTCAGGCCTCAATATCCATGTGTTTGCACTACAAGATTTTTGTATGCTTAATCGTTGAGCTTCTTTTTGGCATAGTGCACAGCTATGGAAAATACCTGGTGCTCTTCATTGGAAATTCCCCTTATTGCACTGAGGAAGCCCTAATATTGTAAGAGTGTCAAACTTTGTCCATTCTATGCCGAAGTGTTGACAGAATAGAAGGGGAATGAGGTGTTACCTGTGATCTTTGAACCAGATGGTGTTTTCTGAGTCCCACTGTGTCCTGTGCTTTGCTCAGCCCATGCGGTTGAATGTGTCAGGCCACATGAGTCAGCATGTGGAGCTGTTGAAGCCGGGGTCTGTGTTGTGCTGCATCTCGCTGGAGGTGCTGACATGCTGTTTGCTCTCTGCCAGCCCTATGCCATGACATGCCTTTCCTTCTGTCCCTACTTCTCTCAGCCTCTCCTTTTCCAGGGTTTTGCTTTTGGATGTTCCTTGGAGTACTGGCTTAGATTTAATTTCTCACTCCAGCTTTGTACCTCAAACAGGTTGTTCAGCCTGGAGAAGAGAATGCTCTGCAGAGACCTTCCAGTACCTAAAGGAGCTACAAGGGAGCTGGAGAGAGACTTGTCACAAGGGCATGGAGTGACCAGAGATAGGCCAGAGTTATATTGGATATTGGGAAGAAATTCTTGGCTGGTTGGGGCCAGAGGCAGGACCAGGTTGCCCAGAGAAGCTGTGGCTGCCCCATCCCTGGAAGAGTGTCCAAGGCAAGGCTGGTCTGGTCAGGGCTTGGGGAAGCAGGTGTCCTTGCCCATGGCGGGGGTGATGGAAGGAGATGAGATCACTTCCAAACCAAGTCATTTGGTGATTCCATGATTATTTTAGTATACTTGTAGTCCCAGAAGTTTATGATAATGCAGCAGTAAAGCAAAATTATCACTGTTTGCTGGTCTAATTGTGGCTTAGCAAAGCTGTCTGGAAGCAGCTGCTTTGCTTAGTATCCCCTTTTCCCTGCTCCCAG